GTCTCAATATTATATTTAATGACATTTTTTTAATTTTGGCAAGCAGGTAAGAATTGTTTTTTACTTTTACAGTTATTATACCAGTCCAAAAGATGAAAACAAGTATGAGATTTTGCATCTGAAATGTCAGCAGAATGTTAAATATTCGCAGAGCATACAACTTTATTCTATAAATCAGTTTGATTAAAATTAGGTTATAGTGGTTCCCAGGGTCTAATATAGCTCACAAAACTCCAAGGTGTGACTCTTATAGTCTTATAGGAGTAAAGTACGTTCACTTTACAAGGTCATTTTCACTTTAAAAGGGAATTCTTACTTAGCTTATTGAATGTGGAGAAAATTCACTTTGCAAAGGATGACAGTCAATTGCAAGGAAACAGAAAAAAAAAACAGGAATTTGCTTGCACGTGATTGGATGATTGAAGTCAGCACAGCTTCCCCACATTCAGTAAGCTAAGTGAACATACCCTTTCAAAGTGAACATGTTCTACTCCTTTAGTAAACCCTTCCCTTAAACGCTAGCTAATTAATCCCTTAGACTGTATTAGAATTGCATTAGAAATCTGTTTTACGGTAGTGTGACAAATGACGGAACTTGTGACAGATTCATGTATGTGTTGGTAAGGTGTATATGAATCTGTTGCAACTCTGACAGAACCGTTGCAAGCATCTCTCCTGCACCTATCCTGTGGCAGAAAAGATATTTAGAGAAGTTGGGAGAGTAGTGGAAATGTATCATATATCAGTTCCAGATGAACTTAAAGACAAATTGTCACTAATTGACTCAAAGATGCGACACAGTAATTACACATGCGATACAATCAACAAAGTATTCCAACTTGGAAGAGGTCTTTTTATCACCAATATGGTGGTATTTGTTTATGCATTTGTTGCAAGAATACCACCATATAGTAAATGTTTCACAAATAAGAACTACTTGAATTTGTCGCAGGTGATGGTACTAGCAATGAAAATGTTGCAGGGTTTTCATGAATTTGGTGCAAGGCCTCCAAGTACACACACTGCCAAGAAATGTTTTGCAAGTGCCTTATTGAATCTCCCTTGATGTGTTTACCAGGGGCCTCCTGTGAGATAATGCTTTAAGAGTGTTGAGATTATGAAATTACCAAGAGTTGCTGCCCAAAGAAAGTTAACTGTTGGTAAAATTAGGGGTCCACACCATCCAAGCCTATGTTGTTTTCCATTCTCACGCAATGCTAGCTTGAGATATTTAAATGTGTTTGCTACTGTACAGGACTGTGCACGCTACGCTACTGTACTAGACAGCTTATATAGGTCATTCAGGAATAACGATCCAGTTGGCTGTTTATAAGGTAATTCTCATATTCATATTTCTCCAAGCTATGAGGTAATCCTCTTTGGTAATGCAATGCTGGTTTGAAAAAGCTATGCTCTTATAATCTATTAGTGCTATCCAGCCAGGTCATCAAGGACTATAATGTTTGTAAAATTATGTACCGTAAAAAATTACAGTAAGAAATGACTGAAAAAAATTACAGTAGATGCACCAAAACCTTGGTCTCTATCTGGAATTGAATGATATGTGTATATATATATATATATCTATATATATCTATAGATATATATAGATATATATAGATATATATCTATATATACTGTATATATACATATGTATATGTAAAACTTTGCCGGAACACAAAACGTTTTTGAAGTCTTTACTTAATTAGTGAAATATAAAAGTGACCTGCATTATTGTTGCCATGATAAATAGTGATCTACAGCTATGTTTATTTTCAGCTTTTGTTAAAACTTTTATTGCTACAGTCTAAACTTTTTTTTATGATCCAAAGAGTTCATATCTCCCTATTGCTGCCTTCTTTCCCAAACCTTATGCACTGGTGACTTGCGTGTGCTGCTGAAAGGTAATATCATAAGCGTTATTTAAAATGACAGTATGAAAGCAATTTAGTTGTAATATTTACTGTGACATTTAACTTCTACAATTATGCAATTAGTAGGTTCAATAATGTCAGGTGGGAACTGCAAATGTTCATGTATTAATGGATAACTTTGAAAGGAATTGTATAATTCCTGTGATATCGTCTGAGTATCACCAGACATATACAATAAGATCCCTCACTAAGGATCTCATGAAGATTGCCCTTCTGCCAGACACAGTATTTTTCCTTGATTTCGGTATGTAGGAATGCATGTGGTTAAGCACTAAAGGACATTTCCGTTTAGAAATGGTAGTTATCACTCCTGTTAGAAACATTTCTACTAAGCACATTTGATGTTGCAGAAATGTTTATAATTTCTCAGGACCCAAAGGGCAACCATAAAAACTCATATAGCTTGGTAGAATCACCCATCGGATCTCAGATTTTCTAGGAGGAAGATTTCCCTAACAGTGCATTTCATCTCTGCTCCCTCCAGCTCTAGTGTGAATTAGTGGCAGTATAATTGTATGGGCTCCACTTGGCAAGTCTCATTCCACTAAGATGAACCCCCTAAATTATTTTTATTTATAGAGTACAAAACCATTTTGTAGTGCCTACCAGAACAGCACTGAAAATTATTATCAGTGCCGAAAGCATTTAACAATCTAATATCATAAATACAGTGATATGTGTATGTAGTAGTGTGGGGAAAGTCAATCATCAAATGCTTTTGGGCTGGTGGTAGGCAACTGAAGCACCTAAAGGAAAGACACAGCAAAAGCATGCAGGGAACATGCAAACTCGGGGCAACGAGGCAGGTTTCCTAATTCCTCAGCCAACATATTGCCCTTGTCTGTATCTTGTTTCCTAAGTGTGCAACCTATGAGTTGTAACCCTAAATTGGCCTCTAAGATACACTTTTTATGATTACTGTACCTATGTAGTAGGTGTCAGTAATAAATATATTTTGGGGCCCCAAAACAAAATGGCACACTGATAGAAGAGGACCCCAAAATGTTATACAGACCCTCAGGTTCTTACATTTATGAAAAGACAATACAGGCAGAGCGCCAATATAGTTTGGTTTCATAAATAACTTGGAAGTTTGATGGAACTGGAAACTCTGATTGGAATATCTCTGCACTGGAGTCCTTAAGAGATATAAAACGCCTGTGTATAGTTTTGGTTGACAGTATGCGTATAAATATTAATTTTTGGATGAAGGTGACCATTCTCCCACAAATGTGTTTTAGGGATGTGTATGGGCACACTAACATAATGCATAACGAATGTGTTAAGCCTGAGTGAAAGGATATTTGCCTCTTTTGTTCATAGCTAAAATAATCAGGCTCCAGAGGTTATTCTTCCAGTGGAACTTAGAAATTGAAAGTCACTTCTTCTTTCAGACACTGAAACATTGGGCACTTTTTAGATTGAATATGATGTCTGTCAGAGGCAAAAAGGGTTACAAATGAAGTGTGTTTGTTGGAAAAGTATTTAAAATGTAACCCTAAAACACAGACGCAGCATTTCATACCAGCCGCTTTCTTTATTGAGGAATCTCAATAAGGTTCGCTACATGGCAGAAAAAGTCTACATTAGTTTGGTTTATATCTGTATATTAACAGCATAGAGGAGAAATATTTATGCTTGATCGGTTGATGAGGCTTAGGCATCTTGAGAGCTGTTGTTCACTTGTGGGCATATTTGATGAAGCAGTCAAACAGCATTTACTTTTCATTTAATTGCAATCTAGTTTATTGATATGATTTGCTACATTTTACACATCAGCGTTGCTCTTTATACTGCTAGTGTGTCTGTATTTGTCAAACTATTGGACACATTGTCAGGCAAGATTCACTAAAGGGCCCCAGTGTGAAACCATGGTTTGGTTTCCCCATGCAACAAACAATTTTTATTGTATTTGTATTGAGTGATAGATAGAAGTAAGCTACATCCAGTTGTACGAGACAGATTGAGGGGTCTTAGCACATAGGACCCTTATCTAGTATAAATGGGGTCCTAATGGCCCTTTTGCACCTGAACAGTCTAATAGTACAGGTAAATAAGACTGCAGTCCAAACAGCCCATCATGTGCTTTATTATTTACAGCGTGTAAGAAAATCTCTGATTGATCTCTAAAGACTTGCAGTATTTTGTTGTGCCAGTAAAGCATTTGTGGACCATTTTATGAAAGATGGGGTAAAGAAAGGGTGGTATGATTGATGACAGCAATCAATCAGATTTAAAGAGTATTTGTAGCGGTACCAACCAGATATTACCCCAGTCGGCTTCAGAAAAATAAAAAAAACATAGTAAAATAAGGTCTTTTTGTTTCTCCATAAAAAAATAGGGCCTGTAAGCAACCCTTCACTTAGTAAAGTAAATGTTTTTAAAAATTAAGGCTTTCATAATTAAAACAGTAACATGTTGGCAGCACACTTGAGAGCCAGACGCTGCAGTCCAGGTCACCAACATTCCAACATGCCCCCTGCACAGTACTCCAATCAACAATACTCATGCTGTCTGAATAGCATTGCTGATTGGAGAACTGTTCAGGGAAGGGGGGTTGTTGGACTGCTGACCCAGATCCAGACCAGTGCGCTTTGTGTGAGAGCAGTGGTTCAGCTCTCCAGTGTGCTGCCACCACAAAGCAGCTTCTTACTGTTTTATCGCAATCATAGAGAAAAATGTAAAAATGGCATATTCTTTACTTGTTACGCAGCTCGATTGCATAACAAGTGTAAAAACAAGACTTCAAATGGGCTTTATGCTTTAATTGACTAAGCAGTAGAATTAAAATGAGGGGTAAAATGTCACTGACTGCCTTGGGCAATATTTGGTCCTCATTGTCTAGCGAGGTTTTGTTCATCCCAAAGGTAATAACAGTTTTCTTCATCGATATGGGATTCCACCCAGGATATTTGGAACTGAAGAGCGTGGTGTCTTGGATAGGACGAATCTCAGCTTATGACTGTTTAGTGAATAAGACTCTAGAGAGGTTAGGTTAACAGCACTGGCAGAACGTGGAGATGAAAGAGCCTGAGGCCTTGGA